GGGAGGAGGGGCTGGGGCTGGAGGTTGGGAGCTGGTTTCTCACCATTGGAGCTGAGGCGGCTGTTGCTCTCTGGGGAGGTGGTGCCACTCCGGTCGGGGGAGGGGTCTGGCTGGGATGTGGACGCAGGCCGGGTGGCCTTCCCCCTCAGAATGTCGATGACCTGTAGGAAGATGGTGGGGGGTCACCACAAGGCCACTCCTGCCTCACAGCCCTCCTCTCTCCATCCCTCCTTGCTCGTGGGATCATCTGTCGGTGGCCTTGGCCTCCAGGGGAGGGTCTCGGTCTTTCTCAGTACCGAAGGCGGACCAGGCACTGCTCAGGCTCACCACGCCCCTCCACGCACTGGCGCAGCCACACTCACACCCCTGCGCCCTTGTCACGCACAGGCCCGCAGATACACGTGTGTCACAAGCATGCTCACGGCCCTCCCCGGACCTGCCTCCCCCCCGCGCCCAGGCGCGCACTCACCCGGCGGCTGCGCGCCACCATGAGCGGCGTGTCGTTGTGGCAGTTCTTGAGGCCGCTGTCGGCGCCGCTGCGGACCAGCGTGCGCACGAGCGGGAGGAGCCCGCGGCCGGACGCCGAGTGCAGCGCGGAGCTGCCCGAGTACATCTGCGCGTTCACGTTGGCGCCGTGCTGCGGGCGGGAGGGCGGGTCAGCGGCGCCCCGGCCCAGGTCGGGGTCCAGGGAAGGGCGGCGGTGTCAGAGGCTGGGGGCCCGGGGCTGGGGTGGGGCCATAGAAGGGTGGGAGCTACAACCAGGGGCCGCTGCGGGCTTACTGGGCTGTCCGCGCTGAATCCACCAGAGAGGGACACGCCGCCCGGATCGAAGCGGGGCGGAGTCCGAGAAGGGCAGGGTCCAGGGCCTGGGCAGGCTCAGATGGAGCCGGGCGGAAGCACAGCGCGGGGACAGGGCCAAAGCCGGCAGGCGGGGTCAGCAAGGCCATCGCAGGGCAGGCCTAGGCCGCTGAGGGGCAGGGGAGGAACAGGAGACTGCGGGGCACAAGTTCGCAGCCAGGCAGGGGAGTGAAGTCGCAGGGAGAGACCGAGGCCTAGCAGGAAAGGCCAGAGCTGGCAGCGGAGCCGGAGCCGGAGCCAGAACTGGGAGGTGGGTCAGCGCCAGTGGCCGGGCGGTAGCCAGGTTGGGGTCAGAGGGGGTGGGCGAGAGGCCAAGGAGGGGGTACCCACCTGCAGCAGCAGCTGCACCATGCTAAGGCTGTTGTTCTCCACCGCGTGGATAAGCGGGGAGCGGCCGCTCTTAATGTCCTGCGGCGGGAAGGAAAGGTCTTTGAGTCTTGCCGGGATCACACCGGGCCGCATCCCATCGGCTAGTCCAGCCTCCCTCGGGCTGGGTACCTCGTGCACGACCCGCCACTGGCCCCGCCCCCCCAGTCAAGGCCCCGCCCCCTCCCGGCTCCCCGGCTCGCTCACCACCGCGTCGATGTCCGCGCCGCGCTCCAGCAAGAGCAGCACTGTTTCTTGGCACTCAGTGTTCACCGCTAAGTGCAGGGCGGTGAGCCCTGAGGGAGGGGGAGGCTCGGTCACACCTGGGCCTGGGGCTTTGCAGCCCCAGATGGACTCCAGGTCCAGCTGGACAGCCCCACCCCGCCCGGTGGTAGGTACTCACCGTCGTAATTGCGGGCCTCCAGGTCCACCGTGCCCGGGGCCGCGCTGTCCAGCAGGGCTCGCAGGCAGGTCGGGCTGCGGTGCTCGCAGGCCAGGTGGGCCGCCGTCTGGCCATGGCGGTCCAGCGCCATGGGACTGGCACCAGCCATCACCAGGAGCCGGACCACGGACGGCAATGTGGTGATCACAGCGAGGTGGAGCGGTGTCTGGGGAACAGTGACTGTGAGGGACCCGTTTCCTGCCCTGCATCCCAGTCCTGCCTCCCTCAGATCGGAGTCCTGACTCCCGGCTGCCATCCATCCCAGGAAGGCAAACCCGGGGCACCTCCTCCCTCAGACCCAGGAGTCCAGGCCGCCAGCCTCACCTGGCGGAGGTTATTGTAGATGTCCAGCTCGCGGCCCCCGTGCTGGAAGAGGTTGACTAGCTGGTGCACAGCTGGCAGGTTACCCTGCACCACCGCAATGTGGAGAGGCCTGGGGGGGTGGACGAATCACAGGCATGAAGGGCTGGTCACCTCTCACCCCACCCTGTTGGCAGTGCTAACTCCAATATGTGTTGGACACTTTGGAAGTGTCTCCAGAATCCACCCACTTCTCCCCACCCCCAGTCCCTCCACCGTGGTTCAGCCACCCTTGGCTCCCTCTTGGACTGGTACATTCCCCTCCTCGAAGCCTCCCTGCTTCTACTTCTGCCCTGTCTGTGCCCCACACAACAGCCAGCGGGACCCTTTTAGAACCTAAGTCAGAAGTCACACCATGCCCCGTCCTCCCTGCCAAAGCCCTCACTGTCGCACACAAGGATCTATGTGATCTTGTCTTTCCCTCTTCAACCCGCTTTGGCCTCATCTCCTCCCACACTGGCCTCCTTGCTGCGTTCCTCAAACATACCACGCATGCTCGCCTCCCAGGGCCTTTGTACTGGCTGTCCCCTCTGCCTGGGACAGTCTTCCCCAGATGATGCAGAGCTCGTCCCCCTCATCCAGGCCACTGCTAAGGTGCTTTGGCAGCTGCTCGCTCTCCCTCCCCTGCTTTATTTTCCTTCACATCGTCACCTGACGCAGTGTACAGTTTACTTGTTTCCTGTCTGAATCTCCCCCATACAGAGTCGGCAGGGCAGGTGTGGGGCTTGCTTGGTTCACTGCCCCGTGCCCAGGACGGTGCCTGATGCCGAGCAGATGCTCCACAAACTTAGGCTGAATTAATGAATCCCTCTCAGTGATCACCCGGCCATCCTTGAAGCCGGCAGCCAGGTTCCACCCCTCCCCGGGCCACAGTTTTCTCATCTGTGAAATGAGTGGGGACAAGCTAGCTGCCATCAAAGTCTCTGCCAGGTGTCACTGTGTATCAGGTTCCGCCTCCAACCCAAGAGACTCAAGGGCCGACTATCTATGCAGAGCAAAAGGTTTGACTTTAGTCCCTTTTAAGGGAGGTGGGGACAAAGTGGGATGGGGTCATTGTTCTGGACGCTGCGCTGTGCAGCCCAGAACCCCCTTCCAGACTGAAGGACTCATTCCCCCAGCTTCTGGGAAGGGTGTCAGCTTTTAGACAACCTGGGAATTACCCTCAGCTGAAGAGAGCTGCTTGCCTGTGGTCACACCCCCTGGGCATGGGAAGCAGTCTGCCACCCAGTGGCATCCAGTGACTCGTGAATGCCAGCTTAGAAGGCCTGGCCTCCCAGTCCCAACCCTAAAGGCCACCCGAGCCCGAACATGCCCTATGGGACGGCTGAGGCCCTGCGAAGACCATGCAGCAGCTCAGCTTCTCCCTCTGCCCAGACCTGCTTTGCCCCACAGGTGTCGATCCAGAGACACTCCCCAGCGAACTTCCTGCTCCCTTCGCAGGGACCCCAACCTGGAATGGCCATTTATTTAGAGCGTGTGCATGTGCATGTGCGTGTGTGTGTGTGTGCACAAGCGAGCGTTTGCATGGGCTGGGGGACAGAGCTGAGGGCACGAGGTTGACTGCGTGTACGCAGGCAGCTTGACCTTTTCAAAAAGTCCATGTACTAGAGCCACTACTTTCTCACCCACGACCTGCCTCTTACTAACCAGGCCTTGCTAAGGCAGCCAAACAGTGGCTCTCCCAATTGTGGCTGTGCGTCCAGAATCCACAGTTGTAGCTAACTTCCCAGGTGACTGATGGAAGTGCAGAAATCCTGGGGTCAGGGCTGCAGACTGGACAACCCTCCCTTGCTGTGAGCTAGGGCAAAGCCAGGAGGCTTTTCGGAGCCTCAGTCTCCTCCTCTGTAAAGTACAGCGCCCTCAATAGGCCCACATGCCAGGATGAGATTACGCCCGCCAATTCCTCATTCTGAATCCTAATCTGTGAAAGCCAAATTTAAAAAGAAACTGTTGGGGGCAGGGGAGCCGGACGTGGGCCAGCGTCCCTGGGAAGGGCTCCCCGCTTTCCCTGCCATCTCCCAGGACGCCCGGCCTGGGTCCCTCTCGGGGCGGGCGGGGTTAAGCGAGGGCAGAGGGAGCGAGCGATTTCAGAGAAACCGTCCAGGCCTGAGTTCCCATAAACGCGCGGGCCGCAGGGGGTGGGGCGGGGCTGGAGGAAGTGGGGACGGGAGGGGCGGCCCAGCCCTCGGACTTCCAGTAACAGGTCTGCTGGGCGGGGCTGCGCTTCCTGCTCCCGGGGGAGGAGGGAAGCCTGTCCCGCTGGGGATCTACCCTCGGCACCCCAATTTCCAACCTCAACTGGGGCGGGGGAGGGGGCAGCCCCTCCCAAGCAGACTTGGACCCCCTGGAAGGGCAGTATCCCGAGTCCTCCAGCCTGGGGGGTCCCCTCTGGAACTCCACCCCTCAGGGCTCAGACTCCGGCTGGCTCCCTGTCCCCTATATCGGGCATCCACCCCAAGATCTCTTGGGAGCCAGAAACACAGTACCCGAACTCTTCAGTAGGAATAATTACTTCCCCAGTTCCTCTGAGCTCTAGTTTCCCAAGTTGCCTCCCCCTTCCTTGCCCCCTTGGAGACTCCGAAATGCAGTGCCCCAATCCTGGTCCCTTTGGGGGCACAGACTTTCAGGACCTGAGGCACGACCAGTTCCAGCGGCGTGTTTGTGACTGCGCAGTTGCTCAGGGCCCAACGCCTAGACGGGCCCGTGCTCAATTTAGTCTTCTCTGTCTTCTGCAGTCTTTGAAATTAATTTTTGAACGCGGGGCCCTGCAGATTATGCAGCTGGTCCTGCCCCTAAGACCTCTCTGAGCACCAGGTCCCCAAACTGCCCCTTATCCTGTTCATTACCCCCTCGGGGTTCATGGAATAGAGCCCCCCAACCTCTGCCCTCTGAGACTCAGAACATGTCCCCCCCTCTCTTGGACACCTAGATTTTTAGCTCCCCAGTCCCTAACCTCTTGGGGGTCCTGAGACTCTTGCTCCCTTGCGAGGAGCTAGAAGTCTAGCCTCCCAACCTTTATTTCTTTGGGGACCCAGGCTTAGCGTCCCCCGCTCTCCTCTCCCACCCCACTACCCTCCCCGTCGGTGTGAAGTGGGGCCGGTGGCGCAGACTGGGGCTGGGCCGGCTGCCCGTTCCGGTAAAGCTGTCGGCCCCAGCGGAAGGGGTTAAGGTTGGAGGGAGCGCCAGGAGGGGGGAGGCTGGAGTGAGTGACGGGTGCTGACGTGGGGGAGGCAGAGCAGCTGGGCTGCGGTCAAGTTCTGCGGGAAGGGATTTCCCCCAACGGGCAGCTGAGGCAGAAGTGTTTGCGTTGGGGGAGCGGAGGAGGGCGGCTGGGGTGAGGGCCTGGGCTTGGAGGCTGGTGGGCCTGGTGGCCTCTTGCGTGCATCCTGCTTTCCCAGGCCGCAGACGGCTCACCCCTGGGGGCAGATGCTCATTCAACCTGTTTCACAGATGACCCCAGACGCACCCCTAGGGGGAGGGAACTAGGTTTTATTAGCCCTTTAAATATCTCAGGCACTTTCTCCAGCTTGGGCTGCCAGGGATGGCCAAAACCACCCGAGAGCTCTCTTCGGACACCACCCATTCCCACGTATTGAGCACTTACTGTTTGCCCGGCCCTGTTCTGTGCACTACGCGTGTGTGCACATCATCGCACTGAATCCTAATTGCGATAGGTGCTATCAAGAGGCCCGGTTTCCAAACAGGGAACTAAGGCTCAGGGACCTGAAGTCACTCTGTGGCCACTGGTGGAGGCCCCCCCCCCCACTTCTCTGCAGAAATGGGCCTGTTCATGTCTACCTGTGGTTTCCAGTCTCCAAACCAATTCCCACAGAAGCGCTTTACCTAAATCATCTCATTTCTCCCCCATAGAGACCCTCACACACTCATGGTTCCTGTTTTTACAGCGAGGGAAACTGAGGCACAGAGGGCAGAGAAAGTGGCCAGCTGAGATTCAAACCCAGGGGGATAGAATAATAATGATGATGATGATCAAGTGTACCGAGTGCTTACTATGTGCTATTAGGCACAGGGCTACACCCTGCCGTGCAGAACTCCTCAGAAGCCTCGAGAACATGTTCTTCAAACTGCAGGTGATAAACTGTGGTGTTTTTGTTATGTTTTGTTTTGTTTGTTTGTTTGTTTTAAAGATGGGCTCTCGCTCTTGCTCACGCTAGTGTCAAACTCCTGAGCTCAAGCGATCTTCTCTCCTCGGCCTCCCAGAGTGCCCATGGGGGTTTTAAAATCAATTTAGGGGATGGTCGAATTAATTGTGTGCTAGACCATGAAACAATGAAGTAGACTAGAATAGAAAATATCAAAGTAGATCCCATACAGTTAGGGTGAGTGTCGTTTCATTTTGTGTAAATTTTTTTTTTTTTTTTATGAAAGAGGTTGTAAGGAAGGAGGTTTGGTTTCCTTTTTTTTTTGAGACAGAGTCTCACTTTGTTACCCCAGGTAGAGTGCAGTGGCGTCATAATAGCTCACTGTGACCTCGAACTCCTGGGCTCAAGGATCCTCCTGCCTCAGCCTCCCCAGTAGCTGGGACTATTGGCGTCCACCATGAGACACCCGGCTACTTTTCCTATTTTTAGTAGAGACAGGGTCTCACTCTTGCTCAGGCTGGTCTCAAACTCCTGAGGTCAAGCGATCCTCCCACCTCAGCCTCCCAGAGTGTTAAGAGTTACAGGCATGAGCCACTGCACCTGGCCTCATTTTGTGTAATTTTTATTTCAAGATTATGTGTGTGTGTGTATATGTGTGTGCCGGGTTTGAGATAAAAAGTAATAACAATATTAATGAACACTTATTGAGCACTTATACGAGGCCCAGTGCTAGGAGCTTTACAGGTATAATTCATATAATAAATCAATCAATGAAATATATTTCTTATTTTTGAATTGTGATAAAAAAGTTGAAGGCTGCTGCTCCAAAACCAGTCTAGGAGGTAAGTGCTCTCAGGGTGCCCATTTTTCAGAGGAGGAAACTGAGGCTCAGAGAGGGGAAAGGCCTTGCTCAAGGTTACATAGCCAGCAGTGAAGACAGGATTCTAACTTGGGTCCCCCTGAGCTGAGTGCCCCAGTGTTGTGGAGGGCTGACCTCCTCACCCCCCACCACCCAGTAATAGGGGACTGTCACTCACGTGTCTCCATCCTCATCTGCACGGGTGGCCATGGCGATGTCTGCTGACAGGGGGTGTTCCATGGAGTACATCATGGGATACAGGGGTGTAGGCAAGTTCAGCAGAGGAAAGGGGGAGCCCATGGTTGGAGTGGGGTATAGGGGCAGTAAAGCTCCTGGACAACAGGGGACAGAGAAAGGGCACAGGTGAGGCCAAGCCCACAGACCTGCAACCCATTCCGCACCTCTGGGCCTTCCTCTGGCAGCGGCCAGTTTCCTCCCAAAGCTTCCTCTTCCCCCAGCCCTGGTCACCCTCATTGTCACTTATCTTTTTATGTGTCTGACCCTATCTCCTACCAAACAATGTGTCTTTTAAGGGCAGACAGAACCCTCTTCATTGCCTAGCAGGGGGGCTCCAGGGTCTGTTTGAGGAGTGAATTTGTGGCTGAGGGAGGTAAGGGATGGATGAACTGGGTGTGGGGTGTGAGTGAATGGACAGTGGATTTGGGGAGAGGGGAGGGTCAGAGGGGGAGATGCCAGAAACCTGTTCAGATCAAACTGTTGGAAGGGGCCGTGGCAGCAGGCAAATCCATATGCACCCATCACACAGATGGGGAAAACCGAGGCCTGGGCTCTCACCCAGGGTATGGGAAAAGCTGGGAGACCGTGGCGGGCCTCCTGATGCACAGCTTGAGGCTCTCCAACTGCTGCACAGATGGGTGGAAGGCACAGAAACTAGGTAAAGATCTGGGGCCCTAGAGAAGGGCTCTCTGCAGCTCTGGGGATCCACTGGGGACAGGGAGGTGGCCACGGCTGTGGTAGGGGATGCCCCTTCCTTGAGATCAGGGATGAAGATGGGACGGGGAGAATAGTGTGTGTCTGTCTCCATCATCCGCTGATCCTTAACTCCTGGTTCCTGAACTTCTGCGTTCCCAGGTCCCTGGATCTGCAGTACCAGGCCTTGCAGCCCTGAGGCCGTCGGTGTGGAGAGCCCTGGGGTACTCATCCAGGCTCCAAATCCCTGAGTCCTGGAGTTACCGAGTCCTACCCCATCGCTAGGATCCTCAGTCCCCAAGCCCCTCAGGGCCACCTGACCTTGTGACCCCATGTAACAGGGTACCTAGAACCCCAGGTCTCTGTGCCCCTGACTCCTCAGGACCCCTGGTATGCAGATCCCTGGAGCTCTGGTTTGTTTCCTTGGATCCTTGTGATCCCAGATATTGGGGTGCTCAGAACCCCAACTCTGTTCTCCTAATTCCTCATGCCTCCAGATATCTTCGTTTCTGAGATCGTGCCATCCCGGGGTCCCCACTATCTGTCTCCTTAAAACCTCAATTTCTGTTCCCCTCACTCCTTTGGATTCCACCTATCCGGACACCAGTGTCACAGATAATGTGGAACCAGGGGACAGTGCCCGGTGGTACAGACATGGGGGTGTCAGGGAATCAGGGGTCAGAGCCTGGCATCCTAGGGACACGGAATTGCAAGCTGTTAAGAAGCCAGACCCTGCCCCCCAGGGTCCCATGACCTCCAGTTTCCTGGGACCCTCATATCTATGTCTCAAGGAACTGCTCCCTGGGACCTCGGGTTCTATTCCTGTCCCCAGCTCCTGGAACCCCCACCTATTTTTTGTCCCGAGCTGTCTCCTGGCTCCCGTGACCCTATGCTCTGTGTGGCCCCCACCCCGCCATGACCTGTGGGGGCCACTCACCCGGGTAGTAAAGCGCTTCTGGCCGGGCCAGGCCGTGGGGGGGCCCGGGGACCACCAGCGCCTCGCAGCCGCCGCGCAGAGGGTCCGGGGGGACGACGGGGCCCACAGCGCTGCGGGGAGCGGCGGGCTCCGGGGAGGGCGCGCGCAGCGGGCGCTTGCGGAGCGGCAGCGCGGCACCGGGGGGTCCGGCGGCCTTGGGCCGGGTGCGCAGGTCCACGGGCCCCTCGTCCATGGCCCCCGCGGGGCATCGGGGCATGGGGCCGCCGGGGACGGCGGCCGAGTGTGCGGCCGGAGCGCTGCTCGGCTCGGCTGCACGGGAGGGTGGTTTCGCCGCGCGCCGGGACTTCCCCTGTTGCCGGCTGAACTGAAGGGACTTTTGTCGGCCGGGGCGGCGCCGGCGGCCCGCCTCCCCGCCCCCGGCCTCCCCGGGGCCACCCTCCGCCCCAGGGGTTTCCTGGACCCGCCGCCGCTCCGGCAGCCCGGCCGTGCAGCCCGCAGTGCGCCCCGCCCGTGCCGCGCCCCGCGCCCGCCCCCTCCCGGCCCCCGGCGCCCCGGGCTCGGCCTCGGCTTGGGGGAGGGCCAGCGACGGGGGAGGGGGCGGGGTTGGGGGTCCCCACCCCCGCCGCTGCAGGCCGCTCTGTTTTATTTTGTCATACGTCTCTGTATCTCTGTGTCTCTGAGACTCTGCAACTGTCTCTGACTCTCCTGTCTGAACGCGTGTTTCTCCCCCGTTTGTCTCTGTGCGCCTCTCTCTGTTCTGTCTCTGTTTATCTCTCTATTGTCTCGTTGTGTCTCTCGCCATCTCTCTGTCTCTCGGTTGCTGTCTGCCACGCTGCCTCTCGTGAGGCCTTGGAGTCGCCAGGACGAGGGTTCGAATCTCGACTCCCACTTCCTCGCTGGGTGACCTTGGCCGGGCACTTCCCCTCTCTGAGCCATTTCCTCCTTTACAGGAGTAAATAGACGCACCCAGGGCAGGGACTGGCACTCGGCAGGCACCCGGGACCTAGTCCTCTGCCTCCCCTGCCCCGTCTCTGCCTCCTCCACGTGCCTCACCAGCTGCGGGCCTGAACGTGGCTGCGGGTAGGGGCCGGGGAGTGAGGAGTCCTCGCCCGACTGTGCGTCTCCCCGCGAGGTCCCTGCACGCAGCCAGGGCCCGCGGGGCACAGGGGCGGGTGCTCGGGGAATCCTAGGTGGACAGAAAGAGACATGGAGACGGGCACAGAGATCTTGCGAGACAAAGGAAAAGAGAGACAGATGGCAGGAGACACAGACACTCCAGGAGGCCGGAGTCGGAGCGACCAAGGCCGGGGCTCGAGGAAGGGGGGAGCAGCGTTACTCCCCCTTCTCCCCACTTTCCCCTCCCACTGCGGGGAGGGGTCGGTGGGTGGGGAACAGGCCGAGCGGGTTGGGGGCATGACTCAGACCGGCTGCGGCTGGGTGGCTGGGTGGGGCGGACGGAGGCGGGCCTGTCCCCAGGCTCCTCCCCTCCCTGGCCCCGCCCCTGGGCGGGGCCCCGGCGGCGCGGGGCTTTCCCGGATTTCCCTGGGGGCGGGGCCGCCGCTGGGGTTGAGTCCGGGTCACTGAGTCAGGGCAGGCGGAGGAGGAGGCGGCTTTGGGAACACAGGCGGGCAGAGGAATGGGGGCTGCACCGGACCTGCCCGGGGGCACGCGGAGCCTGCCTCATTCTCCGGGTCTCCCTCTGCCTTTGGAGCTCCGTCCCTCCCTGCCTGGCCGCCCTCTCGCGGTGTCCTGCCCCGCCCGCCCTCTGTCTCTGTGTCCCCAGCAGCGTCTCTCTGGCACCCTGAAAGTGGGTGTGGGGCCCCGGTTCCCGGGAAGGGACTTTGGCCGGACTCGAGCCCCACCTGGGTGGATCGTTAACCCAGGATGTGAGGAGCGGCTGTGGGCAGAGGCCTCACCCCTTCCCTCTTCTCTCCTCTCCGTCTCTCTCTCCCCTTAGCGCCCTGACACGGGGGAACATCTGGGGCACAGACCTGGGTTCAAATCTCACCTCCACCCCTTGCTCCCTGTGGGGCCTCAGACAAGCCATCTCCTGTCTTGAGGCTCAGTTTGTTTTTCTGGAAAATGGGGACGCTGCCAACCCCTGCCTGCTGCTGTTGTGGGGGCGGCAGCAAGCCCCTGTCCTCCAGCGTACGGAAAGGGAAGCTGAGGCTGAGGGGGCCGGGCTTGGGGGGGTGACCCTAGGAGGTAGGGCTGGAAGGACACCCGAGTTCCTCCCACTCGCTGTCACCCTCTCCAGGTGGTGCAATGGCTTGCAGCCTGCAGGACCGGAGAGGCCAGCAGATGGGATTGGCCCAAAGGGGCTTGGCAGGGCGGGAGAGAGGGGCTGAGGGAGCTGAGGATGGGTGAGGCTGAGGGCCTCGGGGAGAAGAATCTGCAGAAGGAAGACGGGTCTGAGAGAGAAGCAGATTGTTTAAGTGCGGACAGAGGAATTAGGGGGGGACAGGGTCTGACAGGGGAGGTGAGGGTCTGAGGGAGGGGTGAGGGTGTGAGGGAGGAGGTGAGGGTCTGAGGGTCTGAGGGACGGTTGAGGGTCTGAGGGTCTGAGGAGAGGAGTGAGAGTCTGAGGGACGGGTGAGGGTCTGAGGAGAGGAGTGAGGGTCTGAGGGAGGGGTGAGGGTGTGAGGGAAGGGGTGAGGGT